AAATAAATAAATAAAACTGTTAAAAAAAAAAAAGCATGAGTAAAGCAATAGCATTGTAGATCAAAATGGGTTGAAATGTTGAAACAAGAATTAGTTTGAAATAGCAGTATTCTACACAATCTTTCATTAACTTTTTAAGAATTAATTTTTGGAGCTGATAAAGTAAAACATGAAACAGTTTTAATGATTAGGAATGAGACTAACACACAACTGTGATATATGTAGGCTGTATTTATATCAGAATACTTATTAATCGAGAATTCAACCTTAAAGCTGCCTTTATTTTAGAACATTCATTTTTCTAATTATTAAATAATACATGCTCAATTCTGAAAACATAGAAAACAGGAAGAAACATAAATAACATAATTATACTTCATAGATGAAAATACTATTATTTCCCTTCCTCCCTTCCTCCTTTCCTTCCTTTCTTCCTTCTTCTCTTTTTCCCTTGCTCTCTTGTTATTTGTTGGTCTGTCTACCTTTAGGATTCTAATAACTGCTCAGCTCAACAATGGAAGAGAATATATTAGCTCTGTGATGCCGAGCAAGTTATCAACATTTCTATGCCTCCATTTTATTATCTTTAAAATGAGGATAACAATGCCTATTTCATATACTATTGTGAGAAGTGAAAATCCATTTTTTTTAAATGACCTCCACAGATGATTGGATTTCTTGAGTGCATTAGAATAGAATTGAAATAAAGTCATTCTTGTGGTTAAAGAAATGTGATATCTAGATTAAGTATATGATTTTAATTGCTAACATACTGGAATACACATTTATAGCCTACTTTTGCCACTTGGAATTAGACTATTTGTTTTTGCTATATGCAGTCTTTTTTAAGTGCTACATTAGAAATGGAATTTCTGTATTAAAATATATGACCATATTTAAGTATTGACATATATGTTCAAATTGTTTTCAAGAGATGTTGAACCAATGTATAAACCAAAGGCTATAAATAAATAGTCAAGCCTTCACTAAAACTGGGACATCTGAAAAAAATATTGCCAATTTATTAGAGGAAATATGGGATCACTTTACTTTGATGTAATTTCTGTGATTATCATAATGAACTTTTAAAATATGTATATTTGCACTATGTACTTTTTATTTGGTAACTGTCATGAGTCCTCTGTATATTTTTGTACTGAAAAAATGTTTTTCATATTGTTTTGTTAGAATTATTTTTAAGAGTAATAATTCTTAAATAAGAATATGTGTGTGTGTGTGTGTGTGTGTGTGTGTGTGTGTGTAGTTTCTTGTGGAGCTTCACTTCATTGGTGACAATTTGTTTGAAAGTAAAACAAGTCACCATCAAATTTTACAGAATCAAATTTATTAATAATTTTTACTGTTATCTGCAATTTGCAATTTTGCTTTACTGGTATAACTTTCTCCTTCTTTTTACTTTTAAACTTTCATTTTGTTTCAGCTTAGGTATATCTCTTGTGGAGTTTAATTTACTTCTCATTTAATATTAAAGTCTCTACATCTTGACAGAAAAATTTAACTGAATTGTATTTATTTTCATAAATTGGCTTTCTAGTTGGATTGGCCTTTACCATTTTGTTTTTTGATTTTTATATTCCCTAAATGATTTACTATCCTATCCTTCCTAAGTAAACTAATTTCTTTCTTTTTTCCTCTAGCATTTTAGATAAAATATATCTATTTTGAGAACCTGTATCAAACTTCAGTTCTTATGTTGAACAAACATGTATTCTCTACATCAAAAATAAAACTGCATCTACTATAGTCTCACCATATAAGATAAGGAAATAACCATATTTACTTTCTTATATTTCTCTTTTCCCACTTCTCAGTTTTTGTTAATATGTTAGGACTTTTGATCTAGTTATAATTGTTGAATTTTACATATTTTGCATTGTATATTATCTTTCATGATTTATAGGAAAGGTGAGATTCAAATCCTTACAAAGACTTGTGAGGAAACAGAAATTCATGCAAGTAGGGAGTGGAGGGGACTCAGATGACTATGCCTGACTTAAAGGGGCCGCTGCTCCTCAGCTACAGCTGGTAGGCGCCCTCCAGGAATGCGGGGGGATCGATGCTGACAATTCATCCAAGTTAATTTAGAATTTAATGTTAAAATCACCAGATTTTTATAATGTTGGTGTCTATTTCAAAGTTTTCTAAAACACAAACAAAACATGTCTCTAGCTCAAGAATGAGCCACAGATGTCCATGTTATAAATTCTGATTTATAATATTTGCATTCTGTTTTGCAACCCACTAACGACAGTAATTTGGAATTCATTCTCTGTTGAAATGATTTCAGAGTTCACTGTAATTACTGTTGGTACTAAATCTTCCCATTGTTGAATATTTTGTTTTCATACTTTCGTTTTTCAGCAGATATTCAGGAAAGATATACCTGTGAAATTTCAGAACTCTTGCATGGCTGGAGATATCTCTCTGTTGACTTCACATATGAATGACAGACAGGTGTAGAATTCTGGTGTCACAACCTTGCTGCCTACACTTCCCCCACGCAACTCATGTTTAATATTACCAAGAGGCCTAAGGATCTTAATATTATGTTTATTATTACCAAGAGGGCTAAGGATAACCTTTCCAAAAGCTCTTTTTCTTTGCATTTTTGCTTACTGGGTTTTTATAATATTTTTATCCTTTAATACTTTAAATTTACAAAATTTTATAATATGTGTAAGTGTATCTTTTAGTTTTTTATCTAGTATAAGCTGAGCCTTTTCCACTTGTGACTATGGTCTTTCTCAAGTTAAGGGATTTCAAAAAAATTTTTTAGTGTATTTTTTAATAATTTGTCTTTTACATTTATTCTGGTCTCTTTTTTAGGATCACCAATTATCCCTAAGATGGAACTTAGGTTTCTCTCTTTCGTGAATCCATCCCATTTTTGGTTCTACTGTAGTAATATAGAACTCTAGTTATTTTTTACACAAGTGGTTTCATTTTACTATGACATAATACTATACAGATAATACTATATTTTACTGCTTCTATTACCATTGAATATTCAGCAAGGGTATTATAATTTTTATCACTTTTTTGTCCTAAAGGTATTTTTGTCTATTTTATTACCTCATTTTCATCTTCCGCTTGAGAGAGTCTAGGTTCTTCTATTGGGACTACAAAACAGATGATTTTTTATGCTTGCGTCTATTCTTTAGAACATTATTTTTAAAGGAAAAAAAACAGGATTATTTTCATTTTCCTAAATAATATGTTTCTCTTTCTGGACTGCAAACTATTGTCATACACTCTATATTGCTGGTATGTGTCTTGATTCTTTTCCCCCTTGAAAAAAAGAGCAGTTCCTACCAGCCTGTGTGCTCCCAACTCCAGTGAGTATATTTTTCTTGTATTAACTTGGATTTACCTGATTTCTTCTATAATCTTACCTCTGATCCTAAGATCAAGATACAGGTGATGCAAGTTTATGTTCTAGTAATTTCAGGAGAGTAGTAAGGGAGTTAGGACTCCGGAAATTCTTACCAGGGTTACTCTCACTGCTGGTTTCTTCACTGGGTTTGGTGATGCTGCCATGCTATAGACCATTTTTACTAAACAGTTTTACTGAGATATAATTCATAAACTATACAGTTCACCTGTTTAATGTGTACAGGTCAACGTTTTAGTATATCCACAGGTATATGCATCCGTCACCGCACTCCCCAGTCTTCTTGCTGTTTTGCCCAGCCTGGACTCCAAGGACACATTGTGCATGTGTCTCGCCTTCTTCATGGCGTTCCAGTGGAAAAAATTTGCCTGCAGATATTATTTTTGGTATTATCATACCTCCCCCTGGGTTTATTGATCTGACTATTCCATGATACTTCTGACTCATAGCAGCCAAAAAAACTCTGAGTAGAGTTGTTCCGATCTGATTATTTTTATATATTCTGAACAACAAATTAGAAGGTATTCGTGGGATTCTCTAGGCCATATCCAGGAATGGGAGCTGTAAATCAGTCCTCAGCATCTTCTATCAATGTGGTCACAGCTATACCTTATTTAGCAGAACCTCCTTGAACTTTGTGGCATGTGGAATGCACCCTATCCAAGTGCACAGAGCAAAAGAGAATTTCTCTTATTTTATATTATTTTGTTCATTTCAACTGGTTTTTCAATGCAACGAGGAAAAGAAGGCAGATTAGATTTCTGTCTAGACTGGTGTTTCACTCAGAAGTCTAAGGACAATTTTATAAGTTCATATTTAAGTAAGAATAAATAAATAAGAAAAAATAGAAAAATAATTTATTTTGCTTGATCTCTACACTTTGTGATCTCTACACCCATCTCAAATAATTAACAGTCAAATGTGATATTTGTTTCTGGCCTTTCCTGGAGTGAAATAAATTTAAAGATCAGATAATTCATTGATTTCAAAGCTGAAACATTGTTCAATTTAATATTTCTCCAAGGAATAACAGGGGAGTTCAAATGAATATACGGGAGTATACAAAGCACAATGAAGAAAAGGAATTCAATGCCATTTCTTACCTTGGTTTAAAGGAATAATTTTCAAAATTCTCAAATTTCTTGTAATTCTAAATAGTAGAATGAAGTTTAGAGGTGAGTATCTTGTTATATGTCTGTGGAATTAAATTACAATTATTTAGAAGTCATATTGAGTCTATGCTACTTATCTTTAGCTTTTTACACTCTTTGAAACTTATTTTTTAAACCATATATCCAAACGTTTCCCTTTCTTTCGATATTCCATTTTGCAAACAGTTTAATTATTGATCGGAAGATAAAGATTGCTTTACAAAGTGCAAGGTAGCCAGGTGAATATTAATCCACAAAAAAATTATGAGAGTTTATAGAATTTTGACACTGTGAGTACTCTTAATTCCATATCAAAAACTTTATATTGTGTTCATAAATATTTTGTTATCTAATTAATGAAAAGATAGTTAAAAATAAGAAAATTCATAGTTTTTTAAAGGAATGAGCTTCATTTTAAGTATTTAAACATCTGATGATGATGATGATAATCATGATGATGAGGAAAATGAGGATGATGGGGATGATGATGATAATGGTGATGGTAAGGATGATGATGATGATGATGATGATAATGGTGATGGTGATAATAGAAGAAGGAGGGGTGTATAGTGGTTAAGGGCACAGACTCAGTAGCCATGTTGCCTGTATAGAAATCCAGGCTCCACTATTTTCTAGCTGTGTGACATGGAAAAATTGCTTAATCTTTCTTGCCTCAGTTTCCTCAAAAGTAAAATGGGAATAATAATACTTTGCAATTCTGAGGCTTTTTGTGGGGATTGAATAAGTTAATATATGTAAAGTGCATAGAAGAACACGTGTCACACACTAAGTGCTATCTAAGTATTAGCTAAGTGTTTGCTAATAGCAACAGCAACAGCAGAAATAATGTTAATAATAGTAGAAGTAGTAATGATAATAATTTCAATGATATTAGCTACTATTTTTTGATTGCCTACAACATGACAGACACTGATTATGATCTTTATAAAGGTTATATCTTTTTCAAAAAATTGACCCAAAATCTATAATAGAATATCGTTTTAAATTATTATTAGTAGTAGTATTTTTGGTGAGGAAGATTGTCCCTGAACTAACATCTGTTGCCAATCTTCCTCTTTTTGCTTGAGGCAGATTGTCACTGAGCTAACATCTTTGCAATCTTCCTCTATTTTGTATGTGGGGTGCTGCCATAGCATGGCTTGATGAGCAGTGTGTAGGTTCATGCCCAGGATCCAAACCAGTGAACGTTGGGCTGCTGAAGCGGAGTGCATAAACCACTATGCCACTGGGCTGGCCCTATTTTAAATTATTTTAACAGGAGTTTGATGCCGGTGATCATTTCCTTAGCCATAAAACAGAGTACACTAAATAGAAGCATTGGAAAAATAAACACACATGTAAATCATTAGAAGTTAATATAACACTCTAGAAAATGTTTGTGCGTTTGTTTACAATATCTTATTCTGGGGGCCGGCCCTGTGGCGTAGCGGTTAAGTGCGCGCGCTCCGCTGCTGGAGGCCTGGGGTTCAGATCCTGGGCGCGCACCAATGCACCACTTGTCAGGCCATGCTGTGGTGGTGTCCCATATTAAGTCGAGAAAGATAGGCACAGATGTTAGCCCAGGGCCCGTCTTCCCCAGCAAAAAGAGGATTGGCGTGGATGTTAGCTTATGGCTGATCTTCCTCACAAATAAAAAAATTAAAAAAAATTAAAAAAATCTTATTCTGATATCTAGTATATTTACCAGTCTTAAGCGATGCAGGTAAATAAAATGTAGATTGGAGACAGAATCGAATATGCTTGGATCCTCTCCTAAGTCTCCAGCAGATTTTCTGTTCACTGAAACAATCACTTGAAATGTAAAAACTCAACCTCTATCGTTTTTGCTTCAGATAGTAAACAGAGGTAATATCCCATTCCCTTCATCCTTTCATTTTTATTGCATGTTCTGAGGACAGTTGGAGCTGCCTGAGAGAACTCACTGTGATTATGATTTATGAAATACTCTTTATTCACAGAATTTTTGTAGGCAGAAAACTCTGTCAACCTCAATGTTTCTTTATGAAAAGCATTTGCTTAGCAAGGTATTAAGATGTTTGCAACTTAAAGAATACTCACTCAAATAAAGTTACACTGAAATCAAGCCAGTTCCAGGGATCACCAAAGAAATAAAAAGGTCCTGCCCAGATGCCTCTTCCAATGAGTTTTACAAGTATTTCAAATGTGTAAATGCCAAGCAAAGTATTCCTGCAGAAAAATTTTCATATATACATTACAATTGAGAATAATACATTGTTAGCTCTGAAATACTATGTCTATGATAACTATCTTACAACCAATCAACCAAGCAGAGAATAATCAAAAAAGCATGTGCCCCTTGAACCATAGGATAGGGCTTTAGATAAGGCTTCTAGAATGTGCTATGTCTTATGGCATTAACCATGAAATATGACTATCAATTTTTTCAACAAGTCCTAGCTCAGGGTTATAGTCTTCATATATATCTTTAGGTAAATGATGAAAATATCAAATATTAAATTTATTCCACATTGGAAATCACACAATAGCTAACTGAATTGTAAAGGAGTACGAAAGAACTAATTTTATTATATGCATATACAAGGATTTTTATGGTGAATCAGTATTATATTTATCTTCCAAAGTCAACTAGTTTTAAGAGTAAAATCAAAGACTGAGAGGTAGCATCAAGAAAGCCTTCTTCCCTAGAAAATCTAATGAGTCTGTCCATCATTGTAGTCGAATGCAAGTCAAATACATCTTTCAGGAAAGAGAGGAGAAGTAGAACAGAAAGTTAGAAAAAGAAATGACTTTCTTAAAGAATGGAAAGGAATGAGTTATTTGAGTTTGAAGCAAATCAGGTAGGGATTGCAATAGTAAAGAAAATCTGAGGCACTGAAATATTATATTAATTATTAGTAATTAACTTTAAAATAAAACCTCATTTGTATGATAACGTAGACAGAAACATACAGCTAAAGACTCAAATGTTTATATCATGTTAACCTAACATGTTGGGAAATAGAGACATTTAAAAACCAATTAAGAATAATGAAAGGTAGAAAAACGTTAAAATTGATTAATTGACATATATGTATATTTGTTTTTATGTGGAAAACTCATTAATTGTGGTATGTGTATAAATATTATATTATGTGCAATGAACATTATATATAAAATATAAGTATTAAATTGTACACTGTTATAATATGTAGTATATAATGTGCTGTAATACAATGTGTTAAATATAAAATAATATATGAGATTATGTATAATAAAGTTATGTAACTTACTGTAATGCTGGCCACCATTTTGGCAAATCAGTCATGGTCATAAATATGCAGTCAATCAGGACACTGATTAAAATTAAAAGTCGGAAAAAGGTAGGTTACAGTCAAGGAATAATGGATAATAAATAATACTGGAAATTATGTTTCTATAATCTGTTTATATGTATATACACATATGAGATAAAATAGTTTCTTAAGTGTCAAAAAATATACACTATTCATATTGAAAATCAATGAGGATTAAGATTTGTTAATATTTACTACTGCTGTGTGTACTAGAAAATGTATTTTAAACGTATTTTCAAATATGGAATACATTGCAACTATAATCTAGATTTCAATATGACCTAAAATGAAATATCAATTCAAAAGAGAAAAAGACTGCAGCAATGTTTGAGTAGAATAGTTGCATTTCATATTAGTGCAGCCTACAGCCAATAGCAAAGGATATGGATGTACCAAAATCTTAATAGTTGTTCCTCTAATTGTACTGAAAGGAGACAATGTGCACCAGGTAGCACTGAATCTGAAGATTGTTCTCTTTTTATTTAATACCATGAAAGTCTGGAAGAGAAAAAAAGAACATCAAGTGAAATTAGAACTAAGAACTATAATCTCATCAATTATGCAACATATTGCCAATGATCATTTCAGTCATGAATTTAACACTTCTACCTTTCTTATATTTTGATATTCTTTTACAGACTAAATCAAATGGAAAGGTTTTTTTAAAAACTCTTTTCATTGATATTTAGGCTTACCTACTACTTTTTTTTTTTTGCCTATGTTCTACCTAAAAATGCCATTTGCCACACACCATTCCTCAAGTCTTCTTGCAGAGCTAATGTAGTAGGAAGAAAATCATATCCTGATGGCTCATGGGATGTATTTAAATGCACTAGAATTCAATGAATGTAAAAAAGGTTAAATTTATTTCAAAGCAAATAAAGTATGTGATTACAATAGTAAAAATGACCCAGTGCACTGAAATATTACATTAATCATTAGTAATTATCTATGATATAAAACCCCACCAGTATGTTATTATTGACGTAAACATATCTAAAACAAAAACGAATATGTTGGGGTATAGAAGCATTAAAACCAAAAATAATGGAAAATCAGATATATCCTAAAAATGAGTCATATGTATGTATATGTGTATATATGTATATGTGTGTATCTATAATATATATAAATACACGCAGTCAAAGTGCATATGTGTGTGTGTGTATATAACACACACACACATATACACCTTTACTGTATACACATTTTCATTTAGAAAGTTCATTTATTGTGGTGTGTGCATAAATATATTATAAATAGTGAATATTATATAATTATAATATAACAGTATATGATATATAATATATAATGCAATGTGATACAACATATTATACTAAAATATGTATTAAATACAACCTATTATATACTGTAGTATTATATAATATATAATTATACAGAGGTTTATATGGTTACTATACATTGGTATTTATATTTATGTACATGTACAATATATTAATGAATGCAAATACATATTCATCAATATTTTATGAATACATGTTCTAAATGGAAAACAGATGGTGCTATAATTCTTCTCAATAAAACATTTTTCCAATATACAATTTGTGGACATTTTGGCCTTTATTGTAGTTATTTTCCCTCTTTCCATTTTAAATGCAAAGAGAAAATAAAAAGGGTCAAAGAAAATAAATCTGATTATTTAAAATATACTTTCCGTGTATTTTCCAGAACAATCTCAAACTTCACACGAGATGTATGTGCAACCAACCAGCTTATACGTCATTGTGAAGAAATGAGTAATTCCAGATATAATAATTTTCCAGTTAATGCTTACATACTGAAATTGTTTATTTAATTTTAGAATTGTTTATTTGTATGCCGTCTTTAACAGAATAAACTGAATATGATTCAAAATGTTAATAACCTTGTGTCATCGTTAATAACTACTTTTATACTAAGCTATTCTTGCAGTTTGGGGTTTGTTTTATTTTTTAAAATTCTTGGTTTTGTCTTCAGCAACAAATCTAGATTTGCCTACCACGTCTGTATACACTGCAAAGAACTCAGAACTCTGCTATATTAGAGTTACCTCTAAAGTTACTGTGTTACATCAATTAGCATGACTTAAGCATAGCAAAAACCGAAAGCAGAGATAACTGAGAAGAGGACGTATGTTTTCACTAAAATGTCCTGAGGATTTTACAGAGGTTTTATAGCTAATGTTATGTAAGGCCCGTGGAGGCTACCAGAGATACTGGAGTCTTTTTGTTAATATATACATTTACACTGTAAAATGCCAATACACCTCCAGGATACAAAGCATTCAAGAGAGTTGTGGTTATACAAAATGATCACTTCGCCTTCCGTCCAGAGACCGTGGTTCAATTCCATTTCACCCATTTGTTAATATTACTGAATGCTCTAGAAGAATATCAAATTACACTTGTCCACAACAAAGCTAATTCTCATCTCCCCCAAACTTGATCTTTTTTTTAATAGTTATTTCATTTTTGTCAGTAGTACCACCATTCCTCCAGGCTGGAAACCTCGGCAATATTAGTCAGGCTTCACATCCTGCTATTTCTTCTCGGTTTGTTTGTTACCTCTCTCTCTCCTCTGAGACATTACTATAACAGAGGCCTCTTGACTTCAGGCCTGGATTACTCTCTCTTATTTCATTTTCTGACCCTATCTCTTCCATGCGATAGTAATTTAGAAATCTCCAGATTAACCTTCTTAAACATTGCATTCATCGCATCAGTCTTTTGGCCACCACGTTAAATCCACGTTTACACCTCCATTATCTCATCTTATTTTTCCCAACTTGCAACGCAGTTACAAGGGTTCTAGTTCTATCATCGCCCTGTCTCTTCCCTATTCCAGAGTTAATCTCTGCTCTCCCCTGTTCATAGAAGATCTTCCCTTTGCCTTGTTAAAATTTGAAGTGTTCTCCAAGCTATAACTCAAATTCTATTTCCTTAATGAAGATTCTTCAAGCTTTGTCAGTCCACACAGACTTCTGCCTTTTCTAAAAATAATTATTCTTATTTTTATCATTTTGCACTTGTTCATGGATTGTTCAAATATTTATTAGGTTCCTCAAGTCATTCTGGGGTTAAGACAGGATGTATGAATGAATAAAAACGACAAATAAAATATAGTTTGGCTTTATTTTCCTAACTACTGAGTAAGCTCATCAAGTTAAACATTGGAAATTGTTGTATATATTATAGAAATTTTATATTACAGTTATTTTTAAATTGATAACCTTAAGTAGCCAATCATCATACTCCCATAAAACAAATCATTTACATTAAGGCATAGCAGTACAGCCTACTACAAAGTAAAGTAACCCCAAACAAACTAACCAACCAGGCAAGCAATGAGTTTTGATAAAAATCTCTAATATACGTGAAGTTTCTTATGTAGTTTAGTATAACTTAAAATTACCTCCTAATTTACTCTTCATTCACTTTTTTCATCCTATCTCAATTACATTTTTTACATGTCCAGAAAATAACATAATAAAAATGTAGTCACAGTAAATTCAATTAATCCTTACATTTTTATTCTTGTAGTATGGGTCCACATCTTCCAATGGCTCTGACACCATTCCGCGAGGAAGATTTCCATAAACAGATGGAAGCTCTTTTCCAACTTCCAAGTCAGTGTTTGGCTTTAAATCTTCTTTGTGTTTCTCACTGTGCTTTTTAGCAATATGCTGTTTCATAAGTTCGAGAGACTCTCTGGTGAAGGGAACGAGGCCCTTAGGTTCTGGGGAAGCCATTTCCAATTTTGCACCCGAAAGAAATGTATTTGCTTCAGTTCTACATAAAATTTGAGTATATAAAGAAAAATTTAAAATTACAAAAGACTAGGCTATGAATAAAAGAGAACAGCAAGCTAAATACATGCATTCAAAGAATATTCCTGAGCTTTGCAGAAATCTGAGTTGTTCAACTTTTGCTATAATATTAGACTTAATTTGCAATTTCATGAGTAACTCATTCTGCTTCATTTACTCATCCATTGAATCCTCTTCCTTTTCCTGAGATCTGCCTTTCAGTTTCTCCCTTGTAATGAAAGAATTCTAAAGTCATCAGAGATTTTTGGGGGCCAAATCCAATTATTTCACTCTCAGCTGTGTTTAGCCATTGAGTGGACTTTTCTCCCCTAAACTTAGTCTTCAATGGTTCTGTGTCCCACTCTTCTGTATCTCTTCTTACAGCTATGATTAGTTCCCTTGACTTAGCTCTTCCTCTCAAATTTAACTTGGATATCCCTTAAAGTTCTGCCTTCCCGCTCTGTTATATCCAACTTTTTGGTGAATGTATAGGCAAACACAGTGTTTTAATTACTGTATATGGATATTTCCCAAGTACATTTCCCAAAATACTCTCTTCCCTCAGTCATCTGTATGGCAATCACACGATTGACAGCAATTTAACAAGTCAAAACAAAATTCATTGTTTTTCACCATGACTATAATCACTCTTAACCTTCTAGCCATTGTAAAAACAAAAACACAAGTACTAACTCATCACTTTGAAAACTGCTCTTGAATCTTTCTCTTTGTCATCAGTTCCTCTGAACAAAATGATTTTCTTACAATTAATTTCCATTATGCGCTAAAATATTACCCATTGTTCATGTATCTACATCAAAGTAAGTCACCTTTGAAATTCTATATCTGGATTTCTGTAGTAGCCTTTACAGGATTCTCTTGATTCTAGTCTTTGCCTATTTCAAGTTATCCCACAGGCCACACGAATTTGTCAAAATTAAATATAATTTCATGCATCAATTCTTCATTCATGAACCTTGTTCCTTCCTCTCATATAAAAATAGATTCTTTTGCTGATTTTCTCCAGCTCAATTCCTGTCGAAACCGACTCTTCAAGTGATTTGACTCAGTGACAACTGACTGATAATTGTTTATTCATTTCCCTTAACCCTCTTTATAATTTTATTATTGCGATTAAAGATAAGAAATTTTGTACTTGATATTGCGGCATTTTGTACGTGTATATTTTGTCTATTATGGTGCTGGCCTTAGCTGAATTCCTTGTCTAACATTTTCCTAAGACAGAAATCACACACATACACACACACACACATATATTTTACTCCAGAGTTTTCTACTGTTGAGTGAAATTGAGTTGTTTAATAGTTTAATCAATTACTTGTCTATTAATGAAAAGTAAGAAAAGATAAGTTAATTAATCTTAATGGAGTACCAATCATTGCAAGAATCACGCTCCAACTGCTAGGTTGAATAAATGGTGGGTAGGAGATATTTTAAATATACAAATGGCAATCTCATAGACATTCAAGAGAGGATACATAGTTTATTTCTGTGTCCTGGGTAATAAATATGGAAAATCAAATACTGGAAGGACTCCTTATGCCTTTCACAGGATCATAGTTTTTCTGGCTTTTCATTTCTACTGCATTCCATCTAAAGAATGACTTCCTTTGCTTACTTCTAAGACTGCACATAAACCAAAACGCCATCCCAGCCTCAACTTTATTTGATCTTTCAGTTTAAATTCCCACCATATGTCTATAACCTCTATCTCAAAAAAATGTAAATAAAAAGATTCTCTAATTGTTCTAGCCCAGCCTATGGATTCATTTCCCCTTGGCTCAGTCATTTGTGACCGGAGAGAGGGACACTTTCACAATAGCAATGGCTGCTTATGCCCAAATCCCTCCAAAGATTTTGCAGAGATGGGGTGTGAAGCAATCTTAAATAGAGAAATATGGAATAAGAAGATTATTATATATCTACTTGAAGCTCTCTTTCCAGACTAATGGTACAAAAACTAACAATTGGTCATCTTAAAATGTACTTACTTTCCAAATATCTTGCCCACTGTCATGTGCAAAACCAACCCTTATTAAAAGTTTGTTAAGAATTATTTATATAGGGGCCGGCCTGGTGGTGCAAGCGGTTGGGTGTGCACACTCCGCTGCAGCGGCCCAGGGTTAGCCAGTTCGGATCCCGGGTGCACACTGATGCACTGCTTGTCAAGCCATGCTGTGGTGGCATCCCATGTAAAGTGGAGGAAGATGGGCATGGATGTTAGCCCAGGGCCAGTCTTCCTCGGCAAAAAAAAAAAAAAAAAAGGAGGATTGGCAGATGTTAGCTCAGTGCCAATCTTCCTCACAAGAAAAAAGAAAAAGAATTAGTTATATATACCATATGCACATACAAACACATATACATTAATACCTCACATATCAAACTTTATTGAGGGGAGTCAAAATGCTTTCAATATGTGTAATTTATAAATACAAGCTACAGATAACTGAAGTTTACACTTACATATGAAATCTTCTTCTTTTAAAATATTTAATGAGCTTTCAAAATTGTATTCCTTACACAGAGTTCCTTGAATATATATTAAATAGTTTCTTAATGACTCATGGTTATAGGGTAGTATAAACAAATAAAATCACGAACTTTGGAATTAGATAGACCCACATTCAAATCCTAAATGCTGTTAACTAATGTTCTGAGAGGTCTCAGTCAAATTACCTAATATTCTTAAACCTGTCATTCATAAAACTGGGATTCCTCTTCAGGTTAAAAAAGGATAAAATAAAATAATATGGATAAAAATGCCTGGCACATAGTAGGTAGGATTGGCACATAATAGGTAGGAAGTAAATATGAAGTTTTAATTGTGATAATATTTTTAAATCTTAGAATGATGGGTCAAATCTAATAAAATCTAATAAAATAATATATAGTAGGAGTTCATGTAAGGTTTTGAAATTTGAGCCAAAACAATCCATCTGCACAAGTGCAGAAAAAAAGAGATATGTTTTTGCAGCAGAGAAAACTGCCAAGGAGTTTTACTTAATAGTAATTGCAATATGTCAATACTGATTTCTGACTGCCAAGAAAGCTAATATAATTTGTGTTTGTATTGAAAGAAGATGGAGGAGGAAGTCTTTCTCTATTCTGCTATAATCCATAACCGTACCCAAAAGACATGTATGTAAACTGGAGGGTCTTCAAATAGGATCAGAATGTTGATTAGACTCAAATCACACCATCTACAGACCAGTTAAAAGAATCAAGGATGTATTTGTTGGAGTAGAAAAGACTGAAGTAGAACATTATCGTTTCCAAGTATATGAATTATTCTCATGTGGAAGAGAAGTTAGACTTATATATTATTAAAAAAAAAAAAAAGATGAACTAGGATCAGGGAGCTGAAACCAGAATAGAATGGCTGAAGATAATACAGCACTTTCTAAACAGCTGTCAAAAGACAGAATAAGTTGATATGGACATTAATCCTTTCCTGTAACTAGCAACGTGGAAGCATGGACATGTTGACAGCTGGGTAGAATGATTTAAATGGGTCCAAATATTGATTGGTTGCAACCTTGTAATTTCAGAACTTTCCAATCTTAAAATTTTTGGATTGAATTTTCACAGAGTATCGCACGACCTAAAAGTCTAGGCTAAATATTAGCTAAACTAAACCAATGCAGCATTGAATTAAGAAAATCAAAAGCATTTTTACATCTATCTTTTCAGATTACAATAAAAGTATTTCTTATATCTTACATTTTTAGGGATCAATTCTAATTACTAACAAACATCATTAAGCTTACGTATGTAAAAATATTATCTTTAAAAGTAGTTACTAAAGGACATCGCAAACTCATTACAAAAGTGCTGCCGTTAATGAAAATATTCTTGGATACCTTCCATTGAAACTTTAAAATTCAATTTTCCAGCAAGTTTTCTTAGTGCATAACCCCAAAATAATCTTGCTGTTTTTTTTAATCACCTCATAGCACAATAATCTTTGATTCTTCATTTTGCCACCTACTAGCTATGAGACCACAATAACACAGCCTGAGTCATACTTTCCTCATATATAAACTTTGGAATCCCTCAAGATTAAAACAGATCATATACAGAAAGCCTAGACCATAGTACTGACTTTGTTAGCACAAATTCTTTCTCCCAATCCAGTCAGTTATCCCAGAAGACTTCTTTAGTGATGAATTTGATGTTGAAGGAAACTACTCTAGGTTGTTGACTAGGTGGATGAATGGATAGTGGGCATTGTCTTCTATGGTATGACAAAGAAATGCAAGCACTTATCAAATGGAACTAGCTTGCCTCTGATTTCTAGATGGCTGAGTGCAGATTATAAATTATTAATCATTAAATCATAATTCAATAAAAGCATTTCTGTGGGGAATTTATATAATATGGTTCAGGCACTATGCTTTCCGGTGAGTGATCTTAATACAGTGCTAAAGACTGAAAAATATAGAAAGATTAATAGTTAATTTGTCCATTAGAATGCCTTTCTAAAAAACTGAATAGCTAAAGTAAGTTTTTGGCAAGAACTGTTATGAAAGTCAAAGTCATACTCTAACAAGTTCCAGTTATACTATTATTTTATATTGTTGATTAAAGTGCAAGCCATTTCTCTTGGATATCAGTTGAAAGTAGCAGAACCAGTATCAGTATGGGGAAAAGAGGTGCATTCTTATAGAAAAAATATTCTTCGTAAAACAAATTTCAAGCATTTGAGCATGAGCCAATATTTATCATAATCACGGCAATTATAAATATGGTCACCCTTACCGAGTGACTATCATTTGCAAGGCACTGGATTAGATGTTTCTAATTCTATTATCTCGGATTCTCACATATCATCCTTGTTATCACCATTTTACAAATGAAGAAAGAGAAATTGATGAGTTTCATGACTTGTCCATCATCATATAGCTAGTTAAGTGGTGAAAATAGATGCTAG